CACATTCAAAGTACCTGAGACCAACTCTCACTATCCTCACTTCTAAGGAACGGTTGGCTGTACTTCTTCCAAGATAGACATGTTCATTCTTCTGGCAGTCCATGATATATATAGTCAATATTTCACACCAGCATCCTAATTCAAATACATCAATCCTTCTTCAATTTTCCTTATACATTGTCCAGTTTTCACATGCCTTTGAAGCAATTAAAAATACCATGACATGGGTCAGGCACACCTTAGTCACCAAGGTGACATCTTTGCTTTGAAAACACAGTGTTTTGTTTTGTTTTTTTACAGAAGATTTGCCATTTGACTTCCTGACTGGTACTTGGGCACTGATTGTGGATCCAAATAAAATGAAATCCTTGACAACTTCACATTTTTCTGTTTGCCATGCTGTTTTTTATTGGTCCAGTTGTGATGAGTTTTGTTTTCTTTATGTCACTGTGTAATCCATACTGAAGACTGTAGTCTTTGATCTTCATTACTAAGAGTTTTAAGTCCTCTTCACTTTCAGCAAACAAGGTTGTGTCTTCTGTATATCTCAAGTTGTTCATGAGCCTCCTCCAAGCCTGATGCCACCTTCTTCTTCATATAGTCCAGATTCTCGGGTTATTTGCTCATATAATCTCAATGTATAACCTCATATAACCTCAATGTATGCCTTTCCTGATCTTAACCTATGCAGTGTACTCTTGTTCTGTTCAAATGACTGCCTCTTAGTTTGTGTACAGGTTTCACAGGAGCACAATTATTTGTTCTGGAATTCCCATTCTTCTCAATGTTTATGACCCACAGTTGAATGCCTTGGCATAGTTAATAAAATATAAGTAAACATCTTTCTAGTAGACTCTGCTTTCAGCCAAGATTCATCTGACACTTGCAATAAAATCTATCATTCCACATACCTCTTCTGAACACAGCTTGAATTTCTGGCAGTTCCCTGTTGATATACTGCTGCAACCATTTTTGGTTTAGTTTTCCTAAGAATCTATACAATTCAAAAAAATTCATCAGAAGCATGGTAGATGGCAGTTTGGGAACAGGGTGAGAGGAAAATGTCACGGGGTAGCAAATGCTCCGAGAATGTGAAGAAATGAAGCTACGGAGGGATCTCTAGAGCCTCCTCCCTAACTGAGTCCATCTCAGCTTTCTAAGAGTGTCTACACTGCAACGAAGTGTAGACTGAGAGAGTGACCAAAAGTAACACCAGAAAGACAGCTAAAATTCTCACTCGGAAGATAGCTTAGTACCACAGGACAAGCAGTGTATTTATACCAGGATTCCCAAAGTTTGTATCCTACTACCCTGCAAAGGAGTTCTGGTAGCGTAGTGGTTACAAAGTGGGCTGCTAACCTCAAGGCCAGCAGTTCGAAACTACCTGTTCCGTGAGGAAGATCAGACATTCTGCTCCCATAAAGATTCATAGCCTCAGTAACCCTGTACAGGGCTGCTATGAGTCAGAACTGACTCCACGGCACATAACCACCACTCTGCAAAAATGAGGATAATTACTACACTCCTCATAGTCTGTTTATAAATTTCAGTCCATTTAATATCTGCAAAAGTAAGTGTTAGTAAAAAAAAAAAAAAAAAAAAAACAAGTGTTATACCAACTTAAGATACTGTTATTATTTTTGCCTCAGGCCAGTGGTAAGCAATGATCACTTTCTGTACCAGACAATAAAATACTCAGCAGAGACCTTAGGAAAAAAGTTGCAATTAAAGACTGTGAACAAAGACAGATTTTATAAAAGGGAATCAGCAATCAAATTATTAAAAAGTTTTGGGTAACCTGAAAAAGCAAGTTATCTAATGAACTATGGTTTGTTTGGGGGGTTTTGTTTTGTTTTTTGTAACCAATCATGTATTGCCTTGGTAAAACTGAATGGTCAGCATTATAGCTATTTTTCAATTAAAGATAAATATGTAAATATGGGGCATCAATATGCAAAACAAGTCTTTTTATTGAACACCTGTTTTGAAGAAAGGGAAGCAGCATGAATTGTATTCTTTAAAGAAGCAAGAAAAACAGAAACCTAAAAGACTCCGTTTCTGAAATGATACACATTGTCCTTCTTGGTGTTTTCCTCTTCTGACCTAGGTAATAGATTTGAGTAGGTAAGATTCCAATCGGTTCTCACACACCCTTGGTGTGGCCCATTCATTATGGATGTGCAAAACAATATCCCACTTTCCTTATCTCTCAGACCTGCACACCTTACTAAGAAACCTTCCCATAGCCATGCGGTATAACTTTCTGCCTTAGATCATGTAGCAAATAAGCAACTTCAGGACATGGAAATTAAGGTTCGTAAAAGCAGCCATTGTCATTGATCCCACTTGCTTATTCTCAAGCCAAACTAGATCAATAGTTCTGTTGTTTTAGCTGCCTCATCATTCACTGTAAGTGATAGACAGTTTCTGCAATAAATGAAAGAAATAGGAACTCAAGCATTCTAGATGCTATACAAATGGAGTCCTGGCATGGCATGGCAGGTTAATGCACTGGACTGCAGAGTTGGTTTGAACCACAAGGTCGAGAGTTCCAGCCCACCAGCCGTTCCTCAGAAACCCTATCCAGGGTCACTATTGGTTGGAATAGACTCTATGGCACTTAACAACAACAACACACCACAAGGTCGGTGGTTCAAGCTTAGCAGCCACTCCTTAAAACCCTATACAGACTCACTACGCATCAGAACTGACTCGACCACACTTATCACAACAACAACCTTAGTAAGATCCTGCTACATTTCTTTCGTAAGAAGACGATACAATCAGGAGATAGTCCTAATAAAGCTTGAGTCCACTGACAAAAGGAACAGCAAAGTCCATGTCCCAAACTAGTATGTGGAAATTCTTAAGGCTAGAAATAGTTGTTTTATGTCTGTATGACTGGTAAAACCACTGTCTAAATGACCAGACAAAATCTGAGTAAAAGTTTTGTTCTTTGTTTTTTAAAGTTAAATTCCAGAAATAACCCTATGAAAACTATCCCTTCTAATTTTAGTCTCTTCCTTTACTAGGTCCTGAGAAGAATCTCAGCTAATTGGATCACTGCCACTCAATGCTAGCCTATGTCTGTCTTGGTGAAGAGAAAGAAGCAAGAGAGCCTTTGGCTGGCTTAAAAACAACAACAAAAAACAATGTATAATTATAATTTAATGAAGGTCATCAATGCTGATAACTGTCTTGTATTTTGCCATTAAAAATATAAACAAAGAAAACCATCATAAAACTTACCAAAGAGAATGATTGAATGATATAAAAGGAAGAAAAAAAGGAGGCAAAAGAAAGAATAAACAATTAAGATTTGGGTGGCTCAAAATTATTTCCTTGAACTCAGCTTTCTAACAAACTCAGATCCTTAAAATCATCAGTTTTCACCAAGAGCCCTTCAAAGGTATTTTACATTTATGGCTCCATTTTCTTTGCCTTCTAATCATTACCGTGACACCTTGCACAAACTAAAAGCTTATTTAATGGGTTAATATTTAATCCAACTCAACAATGCATTTTACACAACTTTTGTGTTTTATAGACACAATCTTCAGTAACAAAAAATTGATCCAATTTCATAACCATAACACTAGACTCTAATTCATTCTTAAAGCATTAAAAATAAACAAAATATACTATTTAATTGTCCACATTTATTTTTTTTAATTTGTTCAAAATACCTGACTCAATCAATGCTTACTAAAACAAAGGAAAAGATGGTTTTAAATGAAATTTCAAAGTTCTCTGCTTAAATATTAAATCATTTATACTCTAAGTTTTCAAATACTTTCCTAGAAGTAAATTTACTAAAACTCCTTTATAAGGTGGTGTGGAGCTACAGGAACAGCAACGGACTGTGAACCACAAGGTCAGCAGTTCAAACCCACCAAATGATCCTCAGAAACCTTATCCAGGGTTGCTATGAGTTGGAACAGACTAGAAAGCACTTAACAACAACAGAGGAAACGTGCCCTGTGTTGTTGCTGTACACAAAGTAAAAGAGCCCCTTCAACATACCAGTATCGATAAATTTTTAAGTTACCTAGATATGGCCTTAGGAGTACAGTGGCACTGGATTGGCTATAATCACTGGACTGTGAGTTCAAGCCCACCAGAAGCTCCATGGGAAAAAGATGAGGTTTCTACTTCAGCAAAGATTTACAGCATTAGAAACCCTATATAGGGTCCTGTGGTAGGGTCCCCATGAGTTGGAACCAACTCAACAGCACTTAACAACAACAGACATAGCCTTATACACACAGATTTTTTTAAAAAATCATCTGCCACATTCTTGAAGCTATTCTATACCAATTAATTTAAAGTACTTTAGTAACTTCAAAGTTTTTCTTTTCTTGAAATTTACCTTTTTCCCTAAGAAAAACTATCTTTGTTCTCCAAAATATTATTTATAAATATAATTATGCTTTTTGGATGATGAAGGCAGGAATGCCACCATGTTTTACATATTGTACATTCACCAAAGGAGTATTTGGTTCCTTGGTGCCTAATCTCCTTGAGTACTAACAGCTCTTTGAACTCTGATTCCTCACGTCTTTTCTATGAGCACAGACACAGAGCACTTGTCAAGTCCAGACAACCAGAAAACTGTCAGAAGTTGAGGCACATAGACCAGATGACTTTCAAGGTAACAGATTCCTATAACTGAGCCCCAAACCTAAGTAGTTAAGATATTATTTATCATTTCAGCTTACTGTAAGGAGCTCTGCTATTGGTTTAGTTCACTGGAAATCACAACAAACATGAGGCCTTTTCACCAGCTGGTATTTTTTCTATACTCCTCCAAAGAAAACAGAAACCTTCTGTCAAGTGCAAGAACTTCACATTTATTTTCGCTCCCCAAACATAACCACTAAGTTTATGTCAACACTTACCCAAAAACTAATAGACATTCAGACACAAAAGGAGTTAAGAACTTGTTTACAAACTCTGTTTTGTATTGTTAATAAGAAGAGTAGTAGTAAATCAATACTTACAAATATGCACAAAAAATCAGCCCCAGCACCCAGAAATCACTGGTAAATTGCCTTTGAATTCATGAAAATGACCTGAAAATGTAGAGAGAAAACAAAATGAAAAAGGATAAATAAACTTCATTTATATGCTTTATTTAAAAAGTGTGTTCTAGCTACAAAGACATGGTAGGATAATACTGGTTTAAACCCCCCACTCTCTCTTTGTAAATCCTGTACAAGGTCACTATGTGTCCGAAATGACAATAGCAAACTTTTTCCAAGATGATAATGACAAAAGAAACAATGACAAGGAGGTTTCATCATGCATTATATGTTCTTTCATAAATTGTCCAGTAAAAAAGTATGTGTTAAAAGTATGAATAAGTAAAAACAAAGAGAGAAATTTTAAAAAGGTTGAAAAGTTACATTGAAAAACATGATGCAAATTAAAATGCATAAAATTCACCGAGAACATCTCTGGTGTGCTCAACAGGAATACCTTGTAAGTATCAGGAATAAATTAGAAAGGATGCCATTTTTGTTCTATCTAAGGTGTGCAGCCCATTTAGAGACTTAGGTTGCATACAATACATTCTGTATAAACCACAATTCAATCCCAAATTCTTTTCCTTGCACACATGTCAGTTCTGGATGAGGAAGTAACAGATGCAACTGAAACACAGAGCTACTCTTAGAAAAGTTTTTAAGCAGCACAATGAGGCAGTTTATGCCTCTAAATATCTATGGTTTCCTCTCTCCAGAACACTCATGCATTAGAAAGTGGTTTAGTAGTTCATCTTTATTGTTTGGTCTAAATTCAGCATATCTTTTGTTCTGTTGAAACAAAGAAACGTTGTTGCAGAGGCTGTATCCTTTCCAAATGTCAAGATGGCCATGAGTAGTGTTCAACTGAAAACAATAATGGAGTCTGGACTCCTAGTTAAGGTGAGAACCTTTCCTAGATTTTAGGGATTGGTTTGATTCAATCTGCATTTTAAAAATATAGCCAATATATACCTAGGTTAGTTAGAGCTTAATAGATTTAAATAGATTCATTTTGTGGGTGAAAGTGTGTCTTGATCAACATCATCTCTAAGAACTATTACTCTCAGCTTTGTGATTATAGCTCAAAGGGTCAGAATAGAAAAGGCGGCTTCCAAAAAAGTCACAGCCTTGAAAATCTTCTGGAGAAGTTCTATTCTGCACGAATGAGATCTCCATGGCTCTCTGATGCGGTGGGATTCAAGAGAGCACTTTTACCTGTATGGTCTGGTAGCGTGGTTACGAATCGGGCTGCGAACCACAAGGTCAGCAGTTCGAAACTACCAGCTGCTCTGCAGGAGAAAGATGAGGTGTTCTGCTCCTGTAAAGATTTACAGCCTCAGAAACCTTGTTCAGGGTCACTGTGAGTCGGAACTGACTCAACGGCACTTTAACAACAATATATATATATATATGGATTATTTTATAAGCTATTATTACATTCTATCCTTCCCTGAGTACTAAAATATAAGATCTTTATAAACAAGTAAACCACAGAATATATTCAAAAGCTTAAACTCTGGAAACCTCCAAAAGGATGTTTGAGGACTTACCCACTTTTAGACATCACACCTTGTCTTTCTATCAACTATTCTTTTAAAGGCTTGAAATTATGAGATATACATGATATCTTATTCCTTAATTTACATTTAAATGAGGAAAAAGGAAAATGTATTCAGAAATATTGTGGCTAGCAAACATTTTTTCCCTCCAATCATTGGATTCTTTGGGAGCTAAAATATCACTCTGTAAATTCAGTTATCTTTAATTCAGTTAAAGTTCCAGACATTCAGAGCATATAATATTTCAATAAACACCAATACAAAGTCAATAAATCTCCTTTGTCTTATCAATGCAGTCTTGCTGTATACGTTAAAAGCAACTCTGAAACTCCTTATCTACTAATTTACATTACTAATCCACTTCAGAACAAAGATTAAATAAGAACAAGTTCCTAAATTCACAGAGTTCATTTAAAAAGGGCGGAGGGACTTTAATACATACTTCCTCATGCAGAGAATTTAGGAATAAACATGACACACTTTAAGATGGGCAAAGAGTTAAGAACGAATATACATGCAACTTGAAGTTAGCTACTTCTCTAAGAACTAGAAAGTTTAGGCTGGGGAAGACATTTCCAAACATAAAACTGGCACTTTGGTTCTGAAGATAGCAAAAAGTGAAAGAGAAGGAAAATGCCAAAGCAAATCATGATCTGTTCTGGAAAATAACAATCTACTTAGTAAAACGAATCCTCAGAACAGCTCATCACCCATAGATTGTTCCACTCCACATTTGCCTGTTCATTCGTTCTGCTAGCGACCACAGGTTAAAAATTGCATTCGATAAAGTAAGAACACAAAGATAAATAAGATGTGACCATTCTCCTCAGAGATTTCAAACAATCAAGAATCCAAACTGGTCTACAGACTATTTATTCTTTCTCCTACTATGGGTTAGACATTCGTATCTAATCCCTTATTGTCGAGATAATAAATGTTTAGATATACCTGGGCAAGCATGTAATGAATGTGTCTGATTTCTGTTTGAAGGGGGATTGTATGTTGAACTCTCCTTTACCTCCTATCTTATTAGAGTTAGTACTTTTATAACAGAGCTCCAGCAAGATAGTTCTTCCTCTGTGGAACTAAGATCTTCTCTGTTAATTCCACTGGGGTAGGGGTGGAGGGTGAGTGGAGAGGCCTATATTTTTGGAAGACGTACCACCTTCCTACCCTAGAGACAGGACCTAACTGATAGACCTCATCATCGAGTCACCAGGGAGCTAGTGCTCCCCCGATTTGACTTCTGTATTGATCTACATCTGTTCGGTCCTGGTGAACATGTGGTCCTGCCCCTTTTTGTAATGCCTGCTATGATCATGACCCTAAATGTGGAAATCAACAGACTTGCCTGCACAATGTTAAGTAAAGACCCTCAATGCTACCTCCCAGACAATCAGTGCCCTAAGTGTAGCACTGAGACAGGTCAGGGAAGCAGCACTGAGAAACAGGGCTACCATACATTATTTACTTCTACTACATAATCAGGAGTCCTGGGGTGGTGCTCTGGGTTCATGCACTGGCCTATAAATTTGGTTTGAATTGCAAGGTCAGTGGTTCAAGCTCACGAGCTGCTTCTCAGAAACCCTATGCAAGGTTGCTATGAATTTAAACCAACTTGATGGTACATTGCAACAACAACAACATGGTGGTAACATGCTCTTACTATTTGGTCACCTAAACTTTTACATATCCTAACTTTACAAAATAAAATGTTAACTGCTTCAAACACTTCAATACAAAAATTAACAAAGAATATAAAGAAGCTACATACAAATGAAGACACACAAATGTGCAACATAAAATACTATAACTTCACTAATAATCAAACAAATGTGAAGTAAAACAATATCTTTTCACCTATAAATCAGCAAAATTCAAGTTGGACATAAACCTCGTATGTGGAGAAGTCAGTCTTTTCATGTACTACTGATAGAATTACAAATTGGGTACGTTTCTGATCAGCAACTTGGTAGCATGTGTTAATATTTTTAATGTCCATACCTACAGTGTAATGAATTACTTAAAGTCTCTTCTAGCCATAGTCTTTGGAAACACCCACCAAATGACTTTTTCTAGGTAGGTCTGGGTAAGAGAAGGTGGAGGAAGATGCTGAGGGATGATAGGATTTGTTAACAGGGCTAATTGTGATTAGTCATTTCTGCCATCCTGTTGGATGGCACTAGAACCAAGTGCCTTGGTGTGGTGCTGCGTGCTGCGAGCATTTATCAATAGCCCTAGCAGAGCTTTGCAACATTTCCAGAGCAGAGAGAGGCCTGCCTATGGGCATGGCCAAAGAGAAGCTGTCCTGACTGGAAGAATTGTGCCTTCAGCCTGTTCTGATCCTGCATTGTTACTTGTTGACTTTCTTAATAAACCCCACAATCATGAGTAGAGTGGCTAAGTTCTGTGTGGTTATTATAATGACTTATCAAACCCAGCTGAGTAGAGAGTACTGTCATTTTTTTTGGAATACCTTTTGTGTTTGCAATGCTCTTTCCAAGAATTATCCTAAAGAGCTAGTCATGAAAATCTTTAAATGTTCATTATAGCCTTTTATAAAAATAGTCAAAAAATTAGAAATAACTTACTGTTTGGATAAGCACATCATCATACATACATATAATAACCCTGTAATCATTATGACATAAACCTATATTTATTGGCATAATAAAGTAGCTACATTAAAAACAGTATGTATAATGAGCTAATTAACTTATAGAAAATGAAATATATGCATACACACAAGTTTCTTAAAGAAAGTACAATTTAACAAAAGTGTTACCATTTCCAAAGAGATATAAGTTAGTTTTATTTTTACACTCTTATAGTTTGGTGTTTTTTTAGTATTTTTATATTAACATGTACAATTTGTCCCAAAACAACTGTTACTTCTACAATCCAGTGTATTCCTTAAGATATTTGTAAGAAGTCACACTAAATCTAAGCAACTTGCCTGGCAGCAAAGGCCAAATATTAATATTTGGCTTAATTTTAAAAAGTCCTCAATTTTACAGGGCAAATTCAAACAAGTACCTTGACATCAATGAAAAAACAATCAACATTTTCTCAGAAGCATTCTCCACTCTACCAAAATTAGATAATGGATCAAAGGTAAACAGCAAATAAAAACATGCCACCTCACCTTATAATGAGACTTTAAAAGCTTTCAACCTAAAATTTTAATCCTGCTTAAAGCTCTGTCTTTAAGTCACACCCATTATTTTTATCTTTTTTTTTTTTTTTTTTTTTTTTAAAGCAAGAAGTTTCGAGCATCAAACGGGTGGTTGGAGTAGATAATGACCTTTCAACTCTGACATTCAATGACTGGTGGTGGTGGTGGGCCAGGAGTCAGTTCTGACTCTTAGCAACCTGAAATAGGGTGTCTGAGGCTATAAATCTTTACAGGAGTAGAAAGTTTCATCGTTCTTAAAGGAGCGGTTGGTAGATCTGAACTGCTAACCTTTCAGTTATCAGCCCAATGCATCA